GGCGCGCTTTTTAAACCATTAATTCTTACTTATTCATTTATTTTTCCCATCTGTTTTTTTTTTGTTCTTTTTGCTCATAACCTCATTCTACAACTTTACACATTACATCTTTATAATAAATGTTTTATAACTAATATCTTTTCTGTGGCAGGTGGGTTGCAAACTCTTTGGATTTTAACAAGGATTATGAGGCTAGTGTTTTTGAGACAACCATAAGGTTGCATTATAAGGTTTAATATATGGTTGATTTTAATTATTTTCTCCCTTTTATAACAGGCTGTTTGGGCTTTCACTTTATTTTTCCTGCTTTTTTGGTTTCCAAAAGCAGCTTTTCTGATGTATGATGTCTATCGTTTTTCCTGAAAACCCAGAGTTGTAGGTGGCCTTCTCAGTGCATATGATCTTTCAGAAGATAAAGTTTTCCTTGATAAGGCTAGAGATATTGCAGACAGATTGCTGCCTGCATGGGATACACCTAGTGGAATCCCTTACAACATTATCAACTTGGCACATGGAAGACCGCACAATCCTTCTTGGACTGGAGTAAGTAGTGAAGAAAAAATACAATTTTCAGATTGTCTCTTGTTATAATATCACATTACCCTAAGTTGTGTTTATGCTTATTGATATTGTTGCATGTGCAGATCTCTTTTGTAATTTTTCTGAAACATTTTGAACAATTACAAGTAGTGTTTTGGAATTTGATTAATATTTCTGATATTTGAATTCATCATGCTCTTAGGGTGAAAGTATCTTGGCAGATTCCGGCACAGAGCAGGTGGAGTTTATTGCTCTTTCTGAGAGGACAGGAGATCTGAAATATCAGCAGAAGGTACATTTACTACCATGTGTACTAGTGTTTTCTTTACCCTGGTCAAATAGCGCATTTACAGGAACATTTTGTTTGATTTAACTCATGATGTCTGGTATATTATGACTTGTTGCTCATAGTATGTGTGTAAACTGTATTCAGAACATAACTTGTATATCTGTCTAGGTTATATAAGAAAGGCAAATATCAGTGACTTTTTATTTTAGTGATGTTAAACTAATTGCTTGAATGTTGATTTCCAGGCTGAGAATGTTATAGTGCAGCTTAACAAAACTTTCCCTGATGATGGCTTGCTTCCTATTTATATTGACCCTGAAAGAGGAACATCAGCGTACTCCGTTATAACCTTTGGCGCTATGGGTGACAGGTAAGCATAAAATTTTGATATGAATTATGTAATTCTCTGAGTTTCAGGTTTCAAAGGTATACTGGTGCGATTGGCTTAAAACAATGGTGTAATCAACTTGAAACAATCCATTGCAGCTTCTATGAATATTTACTCAAAGTTTGGATACAGGGGAATAGAACTACAGCTGTAAAGCCTTATAGGTAAGAAGCTTGTCATTTTCTTTAGATGGTTACAGTCACTTTGCCACAACAAAATTCTGGTTGGTTTAAAGAGCTATGAGAAGCATGTGCTTGAAAGACCAATTTTGTCGTAGAACTTAACGTTAGAAATCATAAAAGGCATCATGTGACTTTTGCTCTGGTACTAGGAAGAATCTGTATTCTTTGAGGCCACAAATCTTGTAGTTCTTTATGGTCAAAAAGTCTTGTAGTCCCTTTTTTTTTTTTTTTAACCTTTTCTTTTTCTGAACTCTATTTTGAAGTGGATATGTGATCATGGTCTTCTTTAAATTTATCTTGATGTCAAAATTCTTTTGTGGAATTTTGGAAGCAGAGATATGTGGGAGACATCAATGAAAGGTCTGTTGAGCTTGATCCGGAAAACAACACCATCATCTTTTACATATATATGCGAGAAGAATGGGAGAACTCTGACAAATAAGGTAAAGTATCGTTTGCAGCGTCATTAATGCTTTGTCAATAAATTACCGTGTTTCATTTTGAGTGGCATTTTCCAATGCAGATGGACGAACTAGCGTGCTTTGCTCCAGGAATGCTGGCTTTAGGATCATCTGGTTATGGTCCTGAGGACTCTAAGAAATTCTTGTCACTTGCAGAAGAGGTATTCCTTTGATATAGGGCCTCTTTTGAACCCATATTTCATGTCAGTTGGACAGGCTCTATTAACTGAGATGCTGTGTGTGTGTGTGTGATTTGGCACACAAATTTTCCTATGTATAAGTTTTGTGGAAGCAACTGTAGCTGTCACGATTCTGTTGCATCCAAACCATGCCCGCAATTTTGTGCTAGAGAGTACCATGTGTATACTAAAAATGTCAGGACATTGTAGAAACTTGTCATATTACTTTTCAGCACTAAATCTGATATAGAACAGTAAGAACTGGTTTGTGTTAGGGCCTTTTGGTGGTTTATATGATAGATTAAAGCTTGTAAAATTTATGTTTTTAGGTTTAAATGTGACTGAAATGGCTTATATTGCTCAAGTAGAAGTTGGAAGGCAATTAGGTAGTCTTATATAACTGTTTTAGTGTGAATGCTGTTGGGCAGAATAAGGTGAAGAATGAGTTTGGGGATTGAATCTCTGGTGGATAGTTTGCCTAGCCAAAAAGGGGAAAACAACCAAAAGAAGCTATATTTCATTGGTTCTTTATGTAGAGAGAATTTTCATGAGTAGTGAATATTGTTAGGCCTATTGTGAATCTGTGTTGTTTTAGATATTGTTGGTTGAGAGCATAAATAGACATCTTGTCTGACTTTTACTGTAATTCAATTTTCTTTTATTTATTATAAGTTCCATGTTTCCTGATAGAAAAAAGTACAAATAAGCTTGTAATTTTTTTAATAATAGTCAGCTTCCAAACAGTGTACCCTTTTAGCGTTTGACTGGATACTGTAAGCCTATTTTTCAGCTTGCTTGGACATGCTATAATTTCTACCAGTCTACACCAACAAAATTAGCTGGAGAGAACTATTTCTTTCGTGCTGGCGAGGTTAGTTATCCTGATTTTTGTTTATTCGATGCCATGTACTTAATATTTTCTCACATGGTGTCTATGTTTGATATTTCCAGGACTTGAGTGTGGGTACATCATGGAATATATTGAGACCAGAGACAATTGAATCACTTTTTTACCTCTGGCGTTTGACTGGCAACAAGACATACCAAGAGTGGGGCTGGAATATATTTCAAGCATTTGAAAAGAACTCCCGCATAGAGTCAGGATATGTTGGACTGAAAGATGTATGCACTTCTCAAACTCATAACTACCATTGCGCCTCCATTCAAGTTTTCTTATGCATTTAATTTGCATGACCTTTCGTGGTTGAATCTCGTGTTGGTGATGGTTTTTCTAGAGCTTGGGTGTTAGCTGAAAACCATTTTTCTTTTGACCAATAATCTTTGGGCGCTGCAATATTTTATCGTCTCCATTATTGCTTTCATCTCATGAATATTTGAACTAATCAAATATACTTGCTCCTTAGTAGACTGAATCTTCAAGCCGGTGGAATAATTTTTATGTTTTTTTACTGGTAACATATGGTTTCTCATTTATGCGGGCTGTTTGTGGTTATCAGGTTAACACTGGTGACAAAGACAATATGATGCAAAGCTTCTTTCTTGCGGAGACTCTCAAATATCTCTATCTTCTTTTTTCACCCTCTTCAGTCATCTCACTAGATGAATGGGTTTTCAACACGGAAGCTCACCCACTAAGAATTGTGGCAAGGCATGATGAAGCAAATTCTGGAAGTGCAAAGGGGGATGATAGACCAAAGATTAGATTGCGTGGCAGGAAGGAGGGCCGATCACGAGATTAATAGGATTTATTTTCTGTTCATTATTTTGTAATTCTAGGGTCCAAGTAGATGAAGGGCCAAATAGTAAAATGCATTAGTCCTTGAAATTTAATGTCAGCTTTTGTATGAGGAAACTATGCGGCTTTACAAATTTCACCTGCTGGTGGAAGAAGTATTCTATGGTGAGACATGTGTGCCCTTCTTTCACAGTGATGGATTTGTAACATAGGATATACAGATTATTTGTCAGTCGTCACCTCTCTCTCATAGGAAAATGAATATTTCCTCTTAACCACTTGGGAATGGATGAACCTTTGTGATTTCATGGAGGAATGTTTTGTCTTTTATTTTCCCCCCTCTATTTGACATGTCAATGACATTTATGATTTGTAAGCCCAATTGAATAAATGACTTGATGGGCAGAAATTACTTATTGAATATTTCCAGACCATAAGTGCTCTCTCTCTCTCTCTCTCTCTCTCTCTGTGCATAGGTTCTCTTGCTGCTGAAGTTGCAAGTTCTTTTAAAGGGAGTTGTTATTGACAGTTAAATAAAGTCATCTAGTACTCAGAATGCAATTTCTCCGTTATATTTTTGGGGTGCTAAGAACAACTTCCCTTTTTTATTGTTCTTAGGATCATATATCGGCCAAATGGGTTTTGCTTCAGTTGTTCTGTTGAGATTTTGGTTGACATAGGTGAGGTGAAGATAGAACTTGGTTTTAAATCTCCCTGCATACACGGCTCTAGGAGTTGAACCAGCCCTTGTCTACAATCGTATGCTTACACATCATTTCATGAACATATTTGGTTATCCCAGGTCAATAACATTCTACAGTGTTTTTATGTTAACGATTGGTTACATATTTCTAATCTTGACAGTTAGATTACATGTATGTTGCATATTAAATATTTACCAATACATTTAATGAATGCAATTCAATAACTAAAATAAAAAATATGTAACCAATCCTTAACGCCCATTTGAGACATTAGCTTACACATTATTTGATGAACATATTAGTTATCCGAGGGTCGAAGACATTTTACAGTTTTATTAAGATAGAGTAAGTTATTTGACACATTAGCTAACATTATTTGGTAAACAAATTTGGTTATCCAAAGTCTTGTATTCGACCTTGCCATATCCCAAAATAGGTCAGTTTATTAAATTCTTACGACATGTCAGTTTTTAATTATTATTATTATCATTATTATTAAAAGAGAAGCCAGTTTTCTAATGCTATATAAACATGTTATTTCCTTAAGAAACCCTAAATCTAATGGATTGAGGACAAATCTTCAATTCTCGAAATACCTGACAACAGAAGGCCTCCGCACGATCCCACCGTTGATCATAAAAGGCGCTCACTTCAATCCAACGGCCACACATCTTCGTTCTTCATCTCTACCCGAATTTTCTAGTGTCTCGTGTTCTGTTTTTTCTGCTGTACATCGTTTGGAATCACAAACCGGAATCGGAATTAATTATTCCATTCTCGGATGTCGCTATCCCAGTTCTGAATTATCTTACCCTCGAATGGTAATTCCGATGATATAAAATTTCCATGTTTTTTTTCTCCATTTCGCATTGAAATTTCTGTTTGCTTGCCCAGAAACGTGAGGAAAATTATGGAAATGTTTAATTACTAACTTCAACTAAGCAAATCACTCTCACTTATACATGCAACTCCATTTCGTACGATTCTGTCAAGATTTCTTATTATTTTTTCTTAATTTTCCTGCATTTTCTAGGCAATCGAACACAGTAATACTACCTTGAACTAAATACATCATTTGCGTGTATTAGCACACTTCTCTGCAATTTTTATCATAATTTTGTTTCCCTGCATTTTCCTGGCAACCAAACAGAGCACTGAGCCATTTGATCTTTGAATTGATAGCTTTAGCATTGACATGAAGGTGAAAAGCAGTAAATTTACACAAGTTTGTACAAAGGAGTAGTGATCTTGGAAGAGTGTGATACAAATTGAGTAGTGCGCAATGGATGACATCTGTGGCAGCGATGAACCCATGCATATGAATGATAATCTGCATTTGCAATACATGCAAGAGCATGAGCATCATCACGGGTTGGACCATATAAGCAATGTAAATGGGGTGGCTGATGATCATGATAATGGAAGTGGTGGAGCTGAACTTGTCCAAGCCGATGTCCCATCTGACCCCATGAATCTTTCTGATACGCATGATGGGATGATGGACCATGGCACCGAAAATGGGGACCAGCTCACATTGTCGTTTCAGGGTCAGGTTTTCGTGTTCGACTGTGTGTCACCTGAGAAGGTGATTTGATTGATTATCCTGAACTTTTATGCTGCCAGTTGTTATTGTTTTCTCTACATGGTATATTTCATTTATGCTTGTGTGGCTTGTTTCTGGAATTAGCTCTATTGGCGTGCTTTATTAACACATTATGCGCTTGTTGCAGTGTTTGTTTAAGCTTTGATTGATAATGGTTATGCTCGAGATGAATTGCTTCAAGTATTTGGTTTATTGTACATTTTATGAATGTCTTTTGATTGTCTAATAGAATTCTCATGAATATGATGTATCACATGACTGGCGAAAATGTTTGATTTTTACAAGAAAACTGATCTGGGAAGCATAGTTTTTCTAGTTACTCAAGTAATATTGAAAACGTATCTGCATACTGAATTTTTGGCATCGAAGAGTTATACAGACCTTAGAGAATTTGGAATGTAATATAAAGATAATGGTAAGATGGGAGAACTATTCTTAGACTTGGCCGCTTACATAGTAAATGGAGTGTTCCTAGAGTTGTAGATAATATTGTGGACCATGTAGATTTGTAAATATAACTGTAAACACAAATGAGTGAAAAATGGTAAAATGGGAGTCTATTGACGGACATTACCATACATAATAAATGGAGTGTTACTAGCGTTCTATATAAAACTGGGGAGCATGTAGATATGTAAGCAATAACATTGGATCCTAAACTTAGATTGAGTTATAAAGTAGTGTAAGACTGCCATGCTTGTTACTTTCTGGCACATGTTTCAAAAGTTTGCCTATGGAAAACTGTAGTCTTTCGAATGTTCTTTTCGTACTTTGAAATCTATAATTTTTTTACTTGTGGCTACTTTGTCTTCTTAGTATGTTAATAAAGAGAAAGCCTTCTGATTTATTTGAATTACCTTCCTCAGGTTCAAGCTGTGTTGTTACTACTGGGGGCCCGTGAAGTACCTCCAAGCATGCCTGCTGTCCCAGTAACCACGCAGCATACTAATCGGGTATCTGAACTTGGTCTCAAGTGATTTCTTAACAGTTATTTGTATTATAGCATCTTGCTAACAAAGAATTCAACCAGGCCCTTACTGGTACTCCACAACGGTTGACTGTCCCTCAAAGACTGGCTTCACTAATTAGATTCCGTGAAAAACGGAAAGAACGAAATTTTGACAAGAAGATTCGTTATACTGTTCGAAAAGAGGTAGCACTTAGGTATGGCATCTGCATTTTTCATAATAACCAATGAATTATGAGGTAAACTAGTTCAATTTTTGCAGGAATACTTGTTCTTTGTTGTATTTTATGACTTCAATCTAAGATTAGTGATGGAAAACCAATAAATGGTTCCAATGATGTATAGTTTCAAATAGTAAGTAGTTCATGAACCAGTAGCTATAGCATGCTAGCATATAGCCTTATTCATTTCTAGGCATGCTTGCTAGGGATGTTGCTTATGTACACTAATTCCATGGGCTGAATGTGACTTCACTTTAGGCAGAATATAGGTAATAAGGTACTTTTCTCACTGCTAGGGATGTTATCAATTGATTTACTTTACGATTCAATGTTCTAAAGTTAATTCAACATTGATACTTCTGTCAATCAGAATCAACCGAGATTTCCACCAACATCAACATTTTCAACCTTGTGTTAGATATGCTTTTTCCCTTCTGCTGTTGCCTTGTTTTCACTTTGAGGGATTTCCTCATTCTAAATAGCTGTCATTAATAAATGAATTATGATGCCTTATTAGCCTATGGCAAATTTAAGTGATGGTCATGATTACTGCTGTAGGATGCAACGAAAGAAAGGTCAATTCACATCTTCTAAACCCAATAATGATGATTCTGCATCAGCTGTCACAAGTTCGGGCTCGAACGAGAGCTGGAGTCAGGATGGTAATGGATCCCAACATCAAGAGGCTGCGTAAGTTAACATGTCTTATTCAAATTTCTTAATGTCTGCGATCTGTGAATTTTACATAAGAAATTAAAATTTTATAACAAATTATTAAGTAGACCTTCATGGATGTAGGAACAATTTGGACAAGGCAGGCTTTGAAGAAAGATATTTATAGATTTTAAGGAAAGCGAAGAAGTCGATCCAGTAGTTCTTATATATTTTTAGAAATGCATATAGCTTTATCAAAACCCCGAACTATGAGAAACCAAAACGAGTATACAGAACTGTCATGTGGTTAGTGAAGTTGTCTGGTGGTTGTTGATGAAGCACCACTATTGAAGACTTTGTCAATTGTACTGTTAAATGTAAAGAATATGCAAATTGAATGGAGTCAATGGACTTCATTCAAATTGAATAGGTCATGAAATAGGACAAGACATTAATGTGGAATAACAAGGTAATTCAGCTGTATAGAAGATATTGTAGAGGAACAAACATATTTTTGTAATTAATGCATTTGAAGGTTGTAATTTTATACTAGGTTTAAATTTGGAAAGGATATAGCTGTAAGAAATTGAGCTTGTGGTGACCTGCTGAAGTACACTGCTCTGCTCATGATATGCTATCTTATCTCTGATGGCCAAGGATATTTTGGGTTTTGGGGCAGAAAAGGCTATTACGCTTTGGCAAAATTTAGCTTTGGCTTTTATTTGGACAGGTTGCTTTGAAAGAAATGAAAAGAATTTTGATGATAGGGTGTGGAGGAGGTGGATTCTGTTTGGGATAGAATCAGATATCTAGCCTTGATAATCTAAGCAATTAAAGGCTTTTTCCTTTTTTTCCTTTTAAGTTTCCCATAAAATATGACATATAATCTTTTTGAGAGTAGAATAATTGTGGTGCGATACTTGTGCAAGTAGGGTTATATTTTCTCGGCTTCTCTTTGTCAAAATTTACACGTGTGAGCACCTTGAACTGAGACCATAGTTTTATTGCTTTCCATGAGCACGCAGTGAAAAGAGCATTTACCCCTACACCCAAGGTCTCAAGTTCGAATCCCTCCTCTCCGAAGATAGTTTGATAAAAAGTTTGATAGCAGTAGGATCTTTCTCTTTGAACTCATTTTTGTAGTCTTATTATTGCTATGTACTGTGGATTTATTGCCAGCTGTAGACACTGTGGCATCAATGAGAAGTGTACACCAATGATGCGACGTGGACCTGATGGACCAAGAACCCTTTGCAATGCATGTGGACTTATGTGGGCAAACAAGGTAAATACAAGTGGCTTGTTTCTTCACTATTTATTTCTGGTGGTTTGTATAATGATTGTGCTTGGTACCATTTTGGATATTGTACAGTTCTATCAAGGTAAATGGAAGTCTGTCTTAAATACCATTGTGAATATGATTATTAAGATACAATTGCATTCACCGCATTTGCAGTTTCATTTAGGCTCAATACTCAGTTTTCGTTTGGATTAATCTCTAAGGTGGTCTTACAAGGAAATATCTGTCACGAAAACAGAGTGTATTTTCTGTTCAGTAATTTCATTGAAATTTCCACTGCTTTATTTTTATTTTTTTTGTCTTTGCACTCTGTGAACCATAGGGTACTCTGAGGGACCTCTCCAAGGCAGCAGAACCAGCAGCACCCCAAGCAGGACAAAACCCTTCCATAAGCAAGAACGAAGATATGAAACCTGATTTATAAAGTATGCTTCGTTCTTATGAAGATATTGAAGTATATTATTGTATTCTATTCCACTATTTCTTGACTTCTTTTCCTCTCTTCTACTTTCACTTGTTTTACAGAACGGAAATTTGGCGGCCGACCAGGTCTTTAGAATTACGGGAAGCGGTAGTGAGTCTTTGTTATAACTTTTTGCTCGGGCCAGCCATTGTATAGAGGAGCTTTAGATGATTATAAGTAATTTTGAAATGCTCCTTTTATCTCTCTTTTAGATGAGTTGAGTTTGGTCTCACCGCACTGCATAATATGCCAAAAGGATTTTCCTGCACTTGAATTAACTAAACTTTTCAGCATCGGGTTCCATCTTCTATCTCCTTGACATTTTACTTGAACAAAGTAGTTATGTCTGTAAATCTGAGCTTGAGCTTTCTATCTGATGGTGAAACAGCTGTTGTGAAAGGGTTGTGTTGGGAGGATTTACTTACACTTTCTAGCTTCAATCAATAGAATATACACAAAGCCTCAGTCTTTTTGCTCCTCAACTCCAAGAGCAATATTATTCCTCTACTATGAAGCATCGAGGTTTCTCTAAAACTGTTGTGTTTATGTCGTTGACACTACCTGGTGCCATTTGTTTAACTCTTACTCCACACTTGATAATGATGACATTTTTATCAAAGACAAAAAATCGAAGAATCCTATTAAAATGGAAGAATAAATTCTGGGTTTTGAAGAGCTGGTTCCTTTCTTCGGTATGTTAATTGTTGATTTTAAACCTAATTTATTTTATAATACTGTTTGATCAAATAAAGGCTTAATTAGTTTTTTTTTTTTTTTTTTTTTTTGGTCGAAAAGATATATACTCAAAGCACAAGAAACCCCTAAACAAGAGGCCCATGTCCATACAGAGGAAAACAAGTATGTCCATGCAAGGAAACAAAACAATGCATGGAGAGTCAAGAACACAAACAATACATAAGACTGATCAAGAAAAAAGCGCCAGAAAAGACAATCCAACCATAAGGATGTCAAAACGATTCAAGACCAGTCAACAACCAAATTAGGCATGGTGAGGACAAGGGAGTCCATCCTTGCAGGGGCGGAGCCACACTAGGACCAATGTGGTCCCGGGCCCTTGCTCAAGTTTTTTTATTTTTTTTAAAGTAATATATTGTTATGTATTATTATTTCAAATATTTTAGGTTTTGATATGTACCGACATTTGTTGTGCCGAACCTATTAACATTAAGGCACAAGGAGATGCTTCAAATTGCCCTTTGCTCAACTGGTGGTGGCAGTGACGAAGCTACGATTTTATGTGTGTGGGGGCCTCTTATAAATTATAAAGAATCAAAAATTTGAACTCACAATACATACGAAAAATAGTATATATATATATATATATAAAGATTTATATTGCTTATTAGTTGCAATTATAATTGTCCGCAACAAAGGGATAGACAAATACATTCTGAGCAAGAAAAATTACAAGAGACAGACAAAGAGTAGCGATTTAGCAAATATCTTTAAAGCTTTTCCCCCCATTAAACCCAACAGAAAGAAAAAATCAAAATTTCTCAAACTAAAAAAAACCTTAGGCCACTTCATGCATTTATATCATACATGAAAAAAAAAAATGTTTTATGTAAGAAAAAAAAAATGTTTTATGTAAAAATATTGACTAAGTATGAAAAATGGTTTTTTGGAATAATTATTTTCTCAAAATAATTTTTTGCGGCTTTTATTCCTTAGACTTGAAATAAGAAAACTTGATTTTATGAGATTTTAGTATGAAGTATATATTGACTTAATGAGCCATCATTTTTAGCCTAAATCATATTTTGCACTAAAACCGATTTTTCATATTTTGATTTGGTGGGAATTTGATATTCTAGTATTTTTATTTGAATCCAAATAAGGGGTACTTCCTTATTTACATTGTAAACTTAAGTAAATGAAGTAATATAAAAATAAATTAAAGTAAAAAGACAAAGAGAAAATAAGGTAATCTGTACACCTAGAGTGCACCACCACCCAGGGGCGGAGCCACATTGGGACCAGAAACCCCTAAACAAGAGGCCCACGCCCATACAGAGGAAAACAAGTATGTCCATGCAAGGAAACAAACAATGCATGGAGAGTCAAGAAAAAAGCGCCATAAAAGACAATCCAACCATAAGTACGTCAAAATAATTCAAGACCAGTCAACAGCCAAATTAAGCATGGTGAGGACAAGGGAGTCCATCCTTGCAAAGGATGTGCACAAGAGAGGTTAGGGGCCGTTCAACCCAAACTTCCGTACTCCTCGATAGTGCCAGCGATGCAAGATGATCCGCCACTTGATTACAATTCCTGGTGGTCCAATTCCACCTACACTCTTCAAAACATAATTATGGATCAAATCTTACTTTATCCTGGAACTCATTTTATCTCATTTATGGCTTGTTTGAGAGTGATTCTGGACATGATAAAAATCACTTTAAGTGGTTTTAAGTGATTTTATGGAAAAGTATATGAGAGTGCTTCTTCTGAAAATCACTTAAGATCACTTAAATGATATATGAAGAAACACGTATTCAAAAGTGATTCCGTCGTATCCATAATCACTCTTGCAAGCTATCTTATTGTCTTCATGTCTCACTTTGTCCATTTCTGTCAACTTGCTTCGTCAAGGAGTCAAAGAATCAGTTGCGTTTTCCGATGTGGCATGAATCAAGTCTTACTTTAACCTATAAAAACTCATCTCTAGAGGGTCACTTAGTACATTTCTGTCAACTTGCTTCGTTTTTTTTATTTTTTTGTCGAATTAACTTTTGCTTCGTTAAAGAGTCAAACAATCAGTTACATTCGACCTTTGCTTGCCGATGTGGCATGTGCGGGTCCACGTAGCGCCAACTCAGACGGAAAAACAGTGGACCGCACACATCTCTTTCTCCTCTTTCTTTTCCCCCTCTCTCTTCTTAAAAAGGGAATATCCAACCTCCAGATTCTAAAATTAAAACTTCTCCCTCACTATCACACTCACTCACTCACTCACTCACTACAACTCACTGCTTTCTGTATGATTTTTGCCTTCCCTTCTTAGACGTTCGCTCCTCACATCAACAGAAACCCAATTTCATTTACCCAACCTTAAATTCCAGAGCAAGCACTCCTTCTCCCTACCCCAAGTTTCAGCGCAAATGACCACCACCACCACCACCCTCACCAAACCCAAGATGATCCATCAAAACCAAAACCCACCACCAAACCCGACCCGGCTCCCACCAAAGCAGCTTGTTCGGATCATTCTCGCAGACGCCGACGCCACCGACTCCTCCAGCGACGAAGACAGCGTCGTACCCGGTGTCAAACGGCATGTCAGAAAGATCAGCCGTGAGCTCTCCTCACCTTCGAATTGTTCCCGTCATTCTAAGCTGTCCAAGCGACGCAGCCCGCCCGAACCCGACCCGGCTAGCCGGGAAAAGTTCATAGGCGTCCGGAAGCGGCCTTGGGGCCGATATGCCGCAGAGATTCGGGACCCGACTCAGAGAAAACGGGTCTGGTTGGGAACCTACGACACTGCCGAGGAAGCTGCCGCTGTCTACGACAGAGCAGCGCTGAAGCTGAGGGGTCCTCACGCCGTCACTAACTTTACCATCCCCGTTATAGCGGAGGAGACGGTTGCTGATGAGGTGGTCCCCGCTGCGGGTTCGAGCCATGTGAGTGAGATTGGGGGAGAGGGAGGAGCTGCTGGTTATGTTTTGCTTTGAATTTAAATCTTTTTGTGTATCTTCAGTCTTAGGAAATAAAAAACCAAAAAAGCTCTTTTGTTTTTTAACTTGAATGTTAAGCCTTAATTAGTGTTTTTTTTTCTTCTTCTTATTATTATTTTGTGGTCACATCACATGTAAAAAATGCCATGTCAACAAACTTAACGAATTTATAACAATTTTTCTGACACAGAGATGATGGAAATGGAAATGTAATGGAGTAATCCTTGTGTCATGTCAAGAAACTTAACGAATTGATAGGAACGGTGGAGATAGGAATGCATACAAAATGGGTTTAGAAATGCGAGGGGCCACTGTTTGACTCAACAGAAACCAAGAATGATGAAAAATTGAACTAAACTAAATATTGGAATTTGGATTTACAATGGAATTGCATGCAGAATTTACGCTTTGATGTGATGAATTCATTTACACTCTCTAGAGGGACAAAATTCATATCCACACTCCCATTCTTCATTCAAATGGGTGCCACTAAAACAGAATTATCAGATTGTCAAAGTTGTGTCTGCCCACAAAGGATGAAAGCTTGAATGAGGCTCTGAGCAGTACGCATTTTATCCGGGGTTCCAGACACTACAACTTGGGTTTCCGAAGATCCAGACTTTGAATCATGAACAACCAAATTTGCGCCTGAGATCTGCAGATGAAATATCCATGAAAAAAGATCCCCATCAACACATTGCCAATTTTGAATGCAATACCATTGAACTAATAACAGGACAGATAAACCCACCTGCCGGATCTGATTCAGATTACTGTTGTTCTCTCCATAAACGTGACAAATCAATGTCTGAGGAATCATGATCTCAACGGTTGTGCTGCTTAAGTAAGGTGGTTGACTTCCACTGCTCAAATAAAATTTGCAGAAAAAGGTTAGAATGGCAGCAACAGCATTGAAGTTGTTTGCATGGATTAAAAATTAGGGAACTGTTATTGGCAATCCAAAATACTCATCCTGCACTTGTCTAAGTGCATTTTGTCTTATGTTTATACAACGCACGGTTAAAGGAAGAGTTTTTTAGGAGTGTCAATAACAACTCCCTAAAATTATAGAGAGAAACAAGGATATATTCAAGTTCACTAAATACTTCACTCAGATTATGCGCCCATTCAGGTTTATCCAAACAGTATTACTTATCACAATCATGTTTGAATTTACCAAATTACCACAACCATAATAGTTGAATTCACAAGATAAATAACATGGCCAGAAGTGTCAACATGTGGTGCCACTTTAATAAGTAATAAAAAATTTACCTCTATCTAATCATAAATACTTGGGATTTCAATAGCATATAACAAACGTCATTTCCAGAGGCTACAAAATATTACCTTCGTAGAGACCCATTTCTTGGAGCCATGCCCAAACCAACATCAGCAGTTCCCCTAGGAGTCCCACAGCTTACTCCCTAGAAGCATCCAACAGACCGGAAAAAGAGGTTTAACATAAATATTAGAAATTGACATTGATAGGTTATTCTCCCCATGATAGATCAAAATATAAAAGTCTAAGGTTTTTTAAAAGTATAAGGCGCCAACCTGGGGAGTCCACGCTCTTGGAGAAGGACTCTCATATGTTGGACCATGTCCTGGTCGCTCATTGCCAAAAGAATAGGGAACTCGGTCCATGTGAGATGGGCCATTGTGATCCATACTATGTGAAAATGAAGGCTGATGATCGGGAGGTTGGGATGGAAAAGCAGAATGATCAATTCCATGATGGAATCTACCAGGTGAAGGATAGGGACCGGGGGAGGCTGGGTTATGCCTTGGTCTAAAGGAGGGTGGAGGCATCTCGGGAAATGGAGACATGTAGGGTGGGCCACTGAAATTAGCATAAGGAGGTTTCATTGGGAATATGCTCTCCCGAATCCTACTTGTTATATGAAAGAGGGCATCCTGTACAGACTGCAAGCTACCAATAACCTGCCATAAACCACCAAGTGAATATCCTGATAGTGCATTTAGCAAGAATAGGATACTCAAGTCCAGAAAAAGAACCCGTGGACCAACAGAAAAATAGAGAGAAGAATGATATTTATATATTTTAGATCAAACAAATAACTGTGTTACTAGTTATATTTAGGAACCAAAACATGCATCCAATCCCATAAATCAACCCAATGTCCATGTAAGGCTAACAGCAACTTTCTTTATCCAGTATGGCCACATCATACTTAATTAGATAACTGAAGATTAAGCCACATGACATACAGCAGGCATGTGCAGTATTATATTACCTGTACAACTTCATCATTGTGGTAGCCACCCTTCTGAACTTGTTCCTTTGGAAAAATCCGTATACTAGCACCAGTAGCTCTTCTCATTTCAGTAATAATGAAACCTCCTTTACCCAATAAACAACCTATATGCTGTGGATGTACAAGAAGCCTAGCCACTACTGCAGCTCCAGGTTCAAATCCAATCTCCGCAATTCGATGATGTACACGAATAACGGCTTCCTGTGCTGGGGAATATTTTTGCTCTGGATTCTGCAATGAATTTCCGACATCAAGCTTGAACATCCTTTTTGTTTTGTTTTGTTTTATTTTAACTTTTTAGCGTGAGTAACCAAACATGTATAAAGACTAATATAAAGAAAATTAATGTTTCCAAGTAAGTACTAATAAAATGTAAAGGCACAAACAGTTGAGCTCTAGTACCTCTTGTGCAGATATGATAACAACCCGCTCATCTGAATCAGGTGCACAATCAGCTATCTTGATTGATGCACCAGTTTCACTTTGCAAAATCCGGATAATGGAGCCACCCTTCCCTATCAGACTACCAACCTTATCAACTTGGCATAACAACTTGAATACCACCTCTTCTTCCATAAGCATCCTGTGTCCGCTTCCAACATTTTCAGGCCCAGGAGTAGAAGAGTAATTCCTCGAGTGATAATCTGCAGCATTAAAGCCAGACACAAAACCCCGATGAGGAATAGGGTCAACTTGCGCAGGCATACCAGTTCCATGAATCAATCCCCCTGAAATTTTGGTAGCACCAGAGTTAGCTGCATCTACCTTAGGGTTATCCTGAAGACACCCTGAAACAGACAGTAGTGCTTTCTTCACAGCTTGAAAGTCTCCTGTTATCTGCATATCAAACCCACACAAATATAGCCCTAAGAAATACATTAGCACAACAAAAACAAAACATGTTATTTGCACCCCACGGTAGGTGCAGCATGCTTTCCCTTTTTGTGTTAGCAAGCATCATCCTGTTTTGTCTTTATTTAACCTTTTAATCTACTGTTGAATCTTTTTCTCTTGGGTCCCTATCATCTTTCACTTGAACAAAACAGAAAAAGAGAAGGTAATTGAAATTCATGTCTGCCTAGTTTTACCAAAAAAATCATCATGTGGTCTTCTTCATTTGCCTGTGTGCAAATGTTTTAGCAAGCAGTGAAGTGCACTCACTGACATTTATGAAACATATACTTAGCAAAAGAAAGAAAATCAATCAATCAATCAAATAATCAAATTTTACAAACTTAGCATATAAATACTGAAATACAGAACTCACTGCACTTGCTTGTTGCACAAAGCAATTCAGGAAACATGTCAAACCAACACAAAATATGCGTGGCCACATGGTTTAGGTAACCCACGAATATCTAGCACTTTATTTTGTTGAGAAAAACTTCGGTGGGACTATCATGGCACATTAGCACAATGACGTGGTATGAGCGCTCTACATAAATTTTTCCAGTGTTAATGCAGTTCCTCATAACTGTTATACCATTTAAGAAATCACACAAAATTATCACTTACATCATTCAATAGAATCGTAGTAAAAGCAACAAATAAATAACCATAAAATCTCGACAATTGCACATCGATCACCAAAACAAAGCACTCAGAACATACGTAAAAGGGAACAAGCTTACAGAAACAGCAGAACAATTACAAAGCATCCACATTTTACAATTTCAATGCAAGCCAACAAGAAAAAAATGATAATAATAATAATAAATTCATTACCTGAATCAACTCATCTCCAGAAGATGCACACGGCGGAATCTGGTCTCTGGGCAAAACCCTAACGTGAGCCCCACTCTCATGCCTAATCTTCTCCACAATCTTGCCCCCTCTCCCAAGCACACACCCAACTTGACTAGTCGCCGCCAACAGCCTACAACACACCAAACCTCCGCCATTATTGCCCTTCTCTGCTTCACCGGCCTCGTCCACCACAGCTCTCCTGAAAACCCTAACCAGGGCCTGCTGGGCGGGAGACCCTTCAGGCTTGTCTAGGGTTTGGGTTGTGTTATTGGGGGATTGGGCATTTGGGTCGGCGAAGATGAAGACGACGCACTCGTCACTGCCATGGGTCGGGTGTTCGATGCGGACCTTGGCGCCGGGGGTGGGGCCCAGTTTGGGGATGAGGGCGTTGGTTTTCGAGGATGGCAGGAGCAGGCGAAAGAGGGCGCCTTCCATTGATGATCGAAGCTACTGTCTATTCTCTAGTGAGCACACAGTGGATGGATACAAGTGTCTCTCTCTAAAAGAAGTGGGGTGTTCTGAGTAAATCTTTGGGTTTGGATAGAATCATCCCAGTAGCAAATATCATATGTGGGCTTGTTCTTCAAACCCAATCTCTCGCTTTTGGACCAGAACAAAAAAAATGCAATTTCTTTCTAAGTCCACCAATCCCCCATATGTCATCTCAGTTTGTTGATATTGTCTTATGTTTATTGGATGGTATACCAGTCACGTGGTGTACTCGAAACATATAAAAATTTCTCTTTGTTGTGATATTTGTGCGTTTAAACCAATTTCGATGGCTTAGATATGATAATAAATTTTGAAAAGCAGATCGAAGATGAAATTCTTTTCAAAATAACATTTGGGTGAAAGGAAAAAAAACAAAAGGCTACTAGAAAATGCCAAATTCAAAGCAAAAAATACACATGTTCGATACGGTCTAATACCTTGTTAGAAAATAGCACGTTTTATATTTAGATATTGTCAATCTAGCTAAATTATTGGTTGCAACACATGAAAACGTTGTTTTTATACTTAATATGTTGGGGACAATTTATATGTATAATCGTTACATCGTCACATAGAGTTATTAATTCATGTATTGTAATATGAATGGACAACAAGTTTATACTTTAGATGATAGTATTAATAAATAAAACACGTGCTATAATATTTGCAAATTATAACACATGTGTTGGTATTAGGATCATACCAAAACTCTCTCGTGTGTTAAATGTATGGAGAAACTTGCATCATGTGCATGTGAGAAAAGAGAATAGAGATGTCTATATTTGGCATGGGTGATCAAATGGAGCAGAGCCATCACGGTGATGTTTCAACTCCTAGACCTTAAACCCAACCACATGGTCATGCTGTCTCAAGACATCGCGATTGTATTACTTTGCATTCCTATATTGCACATTGTTCACGTGCAAAAATAAAAACATAAAATTAGCTAGTATGGTTCTAATTGTGGTTGTTAAGAAACTTCTTCCACCTCCCAAAGCCTAACACAATTGAAATAGCCATCTCTTGAATGGAGGAAAACTTGAGGGGATAAAATTTAAGAAGACTAAGCTCTTTTCTCTTTAATTAGGCTTTTTTTTTTTTTGGTCACAACATGTGGGTATAGCTCTTTTGCAAGAGAATTGTGCATGTGTCTTAATTTCATGGTTGATTTGGGGGCTAGGTTGGCTAGGTTGGTATGAGGGAATAATGGTATATTCGATGGACTTCTGTTAGATTTGCACTTGAGAGATCGTGATAGGTTGATAAGTTTTGAATTAATCCTATTACAGTGGTGGATGTGAAGTATGATTTCTCTTATTATATTTCTCAACGAAGAATGCTAATGATAATCGTCTACGTGTGTACGATCATTTATCAGTTGTTGATATATACCTTATAAGACCAATTTTAATAAACAACTCACAACAACTCATGTGCATACGAACATCTATTCTAAGCACATCTCAATTTCCAATATATATAGCATGACGTTCAAGTCACACGTTCCGAGTAACTTATTTTTTGAGAAACATACACCTTATTTAATTCAGAATTCACCAACAAATATACATCTTGTGGCTCTCATTGCTCCATTCTCTTCAACCAACGCACAACCATTCTTGACCTAGTATTAGATTTCACAAAGAAGAATGATTCTTTTCTCTCAAAGAAAGCTTTCCCGCAATGCTTTTTGCACCATTGATTTTGTGCACACAAAAGACTCGAATGATTTATGGCCCGAATTCAAAAAGGAGAAAGAAAGCTCCAATTCAGGGACAATTGCCTGGCCCACCCATAAGTAAATCATTCCAATCACGCCAGACGTGTGCTCAACCACCGCTTCTACTGCGTGGTTTTGTATCAACCGCCAGCTATAACTCACACGCGTCACTCATCCGCTGGGCCGCTGCCTCATTCAAATTATTATTATTATTATTTTTGTTTTTTTCAGAGAAAATTTTCTTGTGGTGGATGAATTGTGGTTGATTTACTTGTGTGGTTGAAATTAGAATGGTAAAGTAACCGTCCGCTCAGATTTTGCCACGTTGTCAGTTACCGTGTGGTGGGTTTGAGGAGCTTTCTTTACGCAACTAAGGCCATGAAGCCGCTCTTAATATGCCTTCGTCACTCTAATTTGTATTATTCCAATTTTATTATCTTTTTAATAATTATTTTAATGATAAGATATACGTTTACAACCTTATGCGTCCTTTGTACCTAAGAAAATTAATCTCGATCAAATCATGCTATAATGGGAATACAAGACAAATTATAGCTCCTCGACAAAAAAGAAAAAGAAAAAAAGACACAAATTATAGTTCATGTTATTCAACTATAACTCCAAATATGTCATTGTGGTTTGATTTGATGGCTGTAACTCTACCGGCATTGAGTATTTACATTCTTATTCAAGGCGAAACTTCCAACATTTTGAGACAAAGCACAATATATTTTATTTTTTAAGTAAAAGACTTCAATTAGTAATTTTAACATTTTAAAACCATGTAAAATTTTAAATATTTCTGAATACTCAAAACATTATATATATATATATACATATATACATATATAAATAAAGTTCTACTTTAAAATTGGGAACTACGCAGAAGAAGCCGAGGGGTATATTTGGAAACTCCAGAAATTCCAAATTTTGCAAGGTGTTCTGGATGTTGGGATTTGAATGATGGTGACGTAGTCAAGTAGTGCCACGTGTTTCGACCAAAAAAAAAGAAAGTAGTGCCAGGTGTTGATTCTCTGAAATGCCGCTCCAACTTCTGGTAGAGAATTAGTTGTCGTTGGGGCTCACTTCGCGCCATAGTTGGTAGCAACCAGATATTTTCCAGACGAACCTCACATTTATTATTTTAATATTACTCGTCCAAGTACCCTTCTTCAATAAAAACAAAATTTCTTCAACACTATTTTCATTTTTGCCCATTTTGTTAATCATTTTACTGGATTCACCCTAAACATCAAATAATTGCCCCAATGTTTTTATTTTTTTTTAAAAGGAGGATTATTTGGAGAAATTATAAAATACTACAAAGTCGTAGTTATGATATACATAAATATTATTGTTGAAATTATACCTTCAATGGTACAATTAGTTGTCTCTATTTTCATGATTGCATCTAGTGAAAAAAGGAATACAAGTGATCATTTTAACTCCACAATTAAAATTTGAAGTTAGGCTTAAGGCTTGTAGTTATATATAAAGAGCATTTACCTACATACGAAGTTATAGTTTAAAAATTCTCTTTCATCACACTCTTGACCTTCTTTCTTGAAATGACCGTGATAGTGCCACAAAAAAAATTTCATTCATCCAAATATATAGACGTGTTGTTAATTTCTCACAATTGATGTATCATGTACAATGACATTCTCCAAATTAGTGCCTCATTCGAATCCATTAATTTTCTTATCCATCTCCTTAACTTTTAAAAAGGTAACGGAACATAGAGGGGAGGGAAAAAGCAAAAACTTTCAAGTCGCATGAATAATTTGTGGTGATTGTATATATCAATAATTTATTTTTGTAAGAGGCTTGTAGTTGAAGTGGTTTACAACATTTATCATAGCATTCGATTCTCCTCTCCCTTCAATATTGCTTGAATTTTTTTTATTTAAAAAAAAAAAGCAATTTACTTTGAAAGCTTTCCTAATCACTAAAAAATGAAAAAAAAAAAAATGAAGTTAGTAGAGATGTAAGATAAAAAGAAAAGAAAAGGGTAGTTGGGACTTAGATGCAATAACCAAAAGTAAGAGGACTGAAGGTTGCCAAAAAAACCAAAAAGTAGGGTGAGTTTATGAGTAGTTTCGAGGGGAACGAGGTTTATGTGGACAGAGACTGAGAGAGTCCAAGGCAAAGCCAAATACAGACACATGAACACACACCCTTATTTTTCTTCTTCTCTCCTCTCTCTCATTTGTTTTGTTCTCCTCCATAATTTTATTTATTTTTTCTTAAATTATAAATTCAAACAGCCCTCCACAGCCTCCTCCACTCAAACACACACAAAAACACAAGGCTCCCTCTCCTCCTCATTATCAACCATAAAAAAAAGACAACTCAAACTCTCTCTCTCTCTCCCCCCCTCTCTCTCTACCTCTCTGTCACTACCCACACCATTTCATTCCCCACCGCCTTTCTCTCCATTTAATCCCCCCACACCCTCAAATCACCTCACCACCTTTCAAACTTACAACCCAAATCCTCCAGCTCTCTCGCCTTCTCCACCATGAAAGCTAGGGTTTGCGAGCTCTGCGACCAAGAAGCTTCGCTCTACTGTCCCTCCGATTCTGCCTTCCTCTGCTCCCGCTGCGACGCTAGGGTCCACCAGGCCAACTTCCTCGTCGCTCGCCACATCCGCCAATCTATCTGCTACAATTGCAAAGGTCTCGCCGGAAGTCGGGATCTCCGGTCACTCTGCTCGTCATGCGCGCCGGATAATTTTTCTGGTCATGGCAGCGGCGACGGGGACACCCAGTCCTCATCCTCGGCTTGTTCCGCCTGCGTCTCCAGCACTGATTCCTTTGGCGGAACTGCGGCGACGAAGGCTGGGTTCGATAACCGGAAATCGGAGAGCTCCGTAACTCAGGTTTCCAGTAAGTTGTCGAATATTCCGGCAAGATTCTCCGGCGCAAAGAGGAAGTGCGTACAGAGGGCGCGAGCGCGAACTTCGACGAGCGTGGATGCAAAAGCGGAGGGTAGTTTCGTAAATTGGTGCAGTAAGCTGGGGCTGAATGGTAATTATACCGCGGCGGTGGTGTCGACGGCGTCGAATGCGTTGGGATTTTGCTTGGGGCGGTTGGCTGGCGTGCCCCTGAGAGTGTGCCTGGCGGCGTCGTTTTGGTTCGGATTGAGATTCTGCGGGGACAGGTCGGTGTCCACGCGTCAGAATCTGAAACGGATTGAGGAGTTGTCGGGAGTGCCGGCTAAGCTGATCCTGGCCGTTGAAGCGAAGCTCGGGCGGGAGCTGAGAATTAGGCGCGCACGGCGTGATGATCTAGAGGAGGGGTGGGCAGAGTGTTGAGTGTCAGCGTGTGATGAATTCATCTCGCACGTGCGAGTGCAATGTAGGAGTGTGAACTGAAGTGATTTTAGTGATTAATTAGTCAACAACAGAAGATTAGGGTTCAACTGAGGCAAAAAAATTTAAATTAACTTTGTAAGTTTTCGGTTTTTAGTTTTTGTTTTCGGGTATTATTTTTTTAATTTTAATTTTGCAAAATCATGGTCCATGGATGGTTCTTTTTCTGGTTGTTCTTTATGATCATTGAAACAGTACAAAACTAGAAATTATTGAAAATCGATCAATCTTGGCCACATTTTCATGATTTCTCTGGTTCGTAAGGTGTTTAGACCAGTTTTTGGTTCATGGTTACTAACGCCTGAGCTTATACACGAAATTTTATTGTACAATTGAACTTCCAAAAAAAAAAGGGGTAATGGATTTTCCCACACTGCCCAACTAGGAAAGTATTTTTTGTGGTTGTTCTAAGACCAACTTTTATAGTTATTAAAGCGTTTTATTAGAGCATTTTACTTCACATTCACGACAAGAGTTTGGCTCTCATACGCATCTTTTTAATACGAAAAGAAAAAATAAACGTGATTGATCGTCTGTTATGTTATTCTCAACATTTCTTGGTATAAAAGAAATAGATTCCTCATGCTCCTTAACGTGACGTGAACGTACAAAATTAAAATGCTAAATTGATCTTCCCTACTGCCGGAATAATGGGCCACTGGTAATGACCATTTGGTCTTCACGTTGTTGGAGTAATTCCTGAGCTTATACACGAAATTTTATTGTACAATTGAACTTCCAAAAAAAAGAAGGGTAATGGATTACCCACACCGCCCAACTAGGAAAGTGTTTTTGTGGTTGTTCTAAGACCAACTTTTATAGTTATTAAAGCGTTTTATTAGAACATTTTACTTCACATTCACGACAAGAGTTTGGCTCTCATACGCATCTTTTTTATACGAAAAGCAAAAATAAACGTGGTTAATCGTCTATCATGTTATTCTCAACATTTCTTGGTATAAAAGAAATAGATTCCTCATGCTTCCTATCATATGTGGCATAAGATATTAAGATATGTTACCACGTAATAAGATGGGTGTGTGTGTGGTGAGTGCAATTTGGTTGACATTTCTGAAAATACATTTAACACATCTCTTGAAAGTTATCATTCATCAGGTTAACTTGCTCACCTGAACAAGCAAACTTCCAAATCATGTATAGGAAAAAAATCTTATTAGACAGTGTGGTAGTGGTAGTAAATTTGCCAGGTCTCATCATATAAAGCAACCAAACGACAGCAGATGATACTAAAAGGGCAAGTTGGGATGACATAATGGAATTAATAAAAGAGGTTGATACTTTGAGTACAAAGAAAGGTCATAATAAATAAGGCAGATATTTCTAAAAAAACTATAAATGTGAGGACTGAAATGTGATTCTGATTGAGGCATTTCAGAAAAAAAGGTTTGGTGGTGGAAAATTAAGAACAATAATAAGTTCTGGTTGTGGCTGCTGTTCGAAAGTTGTTGCAAAGAATCCAATGAACAGATAGAGTAGTGGGAAATTTGTTGCATCATCGAAACCAATAATAGTCACTCATTTTCTTAATAAGTGGTAAGGAAAATGCTAGGGAGACCATCTTTAGAGATCAATTTGCGTACGATCTCTTTAATAAAGGCGAGATCCATTATATTGGTGGACTCCATTTCTATTTGAGAGATGATACACGAATTGGTCTCCAAAAATGATCTCCCTAACATGACCCAAGTGGTAATGATTTAAGCTTTTATGTTTCCATCTTTGTTCTTCTACCCCTCATCTATAATTGTCTGTCTGCACTAATTGCTTATGTGTAAAGATGTTGATCCTGAATCACATCTTTGGTTGGTTGGTTGGTTGGATATTAATTTACTTCTACATCCAAGACCAATGAAATTTGCAGGTTTTCTTTTTCTGTGGCCAGTTGATGGAGAGAAGAAATATATGACCACATGTTGGGAATCCAAAAAGCTAAGCAACCTTTAGAGACATCAGAATAATGTGTAAGTATCACTTCTATAAGACCTTCACTTATTACTTCTACAAATACCCACATGCAAAGAAATTAGATGAAGATTTTGGTTGAAATGCATTGGAAGAAAATTTGTCTAAATCCATAATAGTATTATTGACTTTTTTTATTTATTAAAAACTTAACAGATGTGTACTATTTTGGGTTTTGCCCTTTTGTAAGTGCTATTAGGAATCAGATTCACAATATTAATGTCCATGTTTTAATTAAAGGGGTATTTGATTTTACTAAAATGGCCTCAATCTGTCAAGAAAAATGTGAAGCTCAGGCTCACAATAGATTATTTTTTCTCACTTATAAGATTTTGAATAACCAAAGATGATCATCAGCTTGCAACATTGACAGCTCTTTCAAATTCAGGCTCAAAGGCAATTAAAACTATGGTAAAAACCCAGTACCAGAATATATCTCTCATCAAATGCATTCAAAAACAGTGCAGATCTAATCTTCCTATTTTACTAACCATACAATGCTTTGTTCAATCAAAGATGGGGCAAGAAAAAAGCCAAGCATATTCTTGACAAATGTGGTTGGAAGTGTTATTTTGGAAAGAGAAAAAATAAAATTTAAAAGATTTCATCACCATTTGGTTCTAGAAAAGTTACTAATGTATTATGTATGTATCAGTGTTCTTGGCAGTGACTGGTTGTAAATCTCCCTTCTACAGCAAGCTTAGGCAATAGTTCTCTAAGACTAATGCCACGAGGACCCGGCTTGACACTGTTAATGTTGTCCCAAGCTGGACACAACTCCTCCTGAGCTGTTGAATTCTCTAGGCTCTTACTTATTCCTAGGTCAGGGCACCATTCTCCGGGAACCAACCCTTTGGAACTTCGGTTTAAAACATTCTCATCGATCTTGTTTAGTACCGGATCATCTGCTTGAAATGGTCTTGCAAAAGCTGCTCCACTTGCTAGCATTTGATCATAATGTGACATGCTTAGGACTTGAGATTCCCCGAGTGCATTCAAGTCCCATATAATGTACCTCAGATCATTGTTCACTACAGAGTTTTGGAACTCAGTGGAGCTGCAGATGATTGTGTGGAAGTAAGACTCAAGAGGGTAAGGCACATTGCTGATGTACATCAGTAACTTTCTTGGAAAGTTGTCCCATCCTTTGACACAGTACTCCATGAAATCTCTGGTTAAAATCATCCAAGGTGAACCTATACGACAAGATTATAATAAAACTGAGAATTTGCCAACTTACAGAAATCATAATCTTGTAACTTGTTGAATGCACATTTAGTGGCATTCTGTAAGAGCAACTGACCTCCAAATATTGTGAAAGCATCTGGCATGGATCTGTTCTCTACAGCATACATAAGTGGAGTGCTCTCCTGAAGATATAAACTAGGATCTACAACGATTCGATCCATATTTTTCTGCCTGCACCCAATCAACTTCCATTTAGAAAATTCAGGACAAGGCAAATTTTGAATTAAAACTTATGGCCTAAATGCAATTCAAGAGGCATATATATGCAGGCTATTTGGGTTGATCATTTATGTCCTAAAACCTGCCTCATCAGTTAATAGATCTCATATGTGAAAGTTCATGACCAGGAGAATTTAAGTTCAGTCCTATAACTTTGCCTCCATCCATGTCACATTGTAATAAAAGAAAAAAAGAAAAATTCTGAAAGGAGGTAAGAGAAACAAAGTATTGGGAACATTAAAAGGCTATTGCTTACTCTTTCCAGCCAGTCTTGTTTGTAAAATGTATAAAATTGGTATTCCTTGGCAATAAAGTGAAAGCATGGAGCAGATCTGAACAAAAAAAATTAAATATATTCCTAGTCAGCACAAGCAAAGTCATAAAAGTTCCTAATTATACATAATCCTATAAAATTTTGTAATTGGAAGTAGTTTAAGGTAATGAAATCCAATAATTTTTAGCATTAAATGACAGTGACAATAATTTTTAGTTCCCAAACAATTTCAAGGACAATTATTTTGATTTGATATCACTTACCATCCTGAGGGATGAGTGGATAGTCAGAAGCACTTAAAGTGATGAACCAGTCCCAATCTGCACTGAGCTTTAGAAGCAATGCTGCAGCATGAAGTGTGGCAGCAAGAGCAGAAGACCCCATCTGGTTGAGGGCATAACTTTTTCCAACAACATTAACATTTCCAAAGGCTTGAAAAACCTTCTCAGATTGAACATAGAGGGCTAGCTGTCCTCTATCATAATCTGAAGAACCAGCATCAAGTTGCAGCAGATACTGGTTTCTCGGATGATATATTGCCTTCAACAGCCTCAATATTTTCTCACTTTCTCCATTAGTACCACATATCCAATAAGCAAACACAGGGGGATAGCCACTCCCTTTTAATGGGGTTTTCATTGAAAGTTGGTACTTGCTGCCCTCCATAGAAAACACTTTGTTTGATGATCTTGATAAAGCTCCCAACAACACTAAACAAGCTGCAAATGCAAGAAGCCATAGACGACAACCCGAGAACCATCCAAAAGTGTTTGATACTCTCATTGGGGAAAGCTTAATGTCAATTAGCTTGAAATGTTTCTGATAAATAAACTGTCAGCCACCAATGCCAAGCATTAAAATCATTAAAATCCAAGAAACCAAACTTTTCCTAACCAGTATGAGATGCGTTTGTGTAAATGAAGCTAACCACAGTTGCAACATTACAATACCCTTGAAAGGAGAAAAAATGCATCCATGAACTTGAAACAAAACCTTACATTTGGTAAGGAGTTCATGTGAATAAGGTAAAGCATCTGTGTTGGGCCAACAGAAAAAAGAAAAGAAAAGAAAAGGGCATCTGTGAAACCAAGGTGAGGTTGGGAGCTTGATATTGAAGAAAACAAGGAGGAGAAATTTGTCAAAGTTAGAATACGTTCAACACAAGGAAACGGATTGTACATTATGGCAGGCCTTTTGAAAGGGACTTGGAGAAAGAAAAAAAGAGAGAGTTGAGAGGTGGCTGTTTTATGCTGGTTAAGATGTTAGTTTAATTATTGGTGGGGTTTCAAGGTCGGTTGAAAGCTTTGAAACGCAAATTTTTTCTTCTTTTTTATTTTATTATTTTTTGTATGTGACAGTGGCACAGTAACAGTGAGAGATAACCCATTCAGCAGGTTTATGCAAGTTAATTTTTAATTCGTTGGCACCTAGAAAGTTCAGAAAAAACCAAATCAGTATATTCTTTCTGTGGGGGTTTTCTAGTTCCATTTGATATGTTGGGGTTTTCCTTCTCTCAAAAAATTGAATAGAAAGTATATTTTTGACCAATTTGTAGTTCTGTTAGGAAATAAATATAAGAAATTTATCGAGCGTGGTTACCACAATGGTTGTGGCCCTCCCCCTTCCCCGCCTACTTGGCACCTAAGATCAAAACTTCAGGGTTTCTTTCCTCCTAATGTAACCAAAATAAAAAATAAAATTGAAAACTTTCATACTACAGAGAACGGGTTTGGGCCAATTGGGGCAGTAATGGATCCAAGAACTGAAGCAAAGTGTCCATGGTTTAAGTTTGGATCCAAATCCTAACTCATTTGTATGGCTGCGATGGTGCTTCGTCGCGGGCGGGTCAAACTGCATCCGACCCATTTCCAGCTTCTCCGACTTTGCAATATGAAACAAGCAGCAAATGCTTAGTGAAAAGATTGCTGGGAGGATATATGGAACAACCAACAACAGCATATCATTATCACGTAAGCTTCGAGACCACTTTCAACTTTCACACTAAACTCATTAGGACGACTTAAACAATCACGAGTTTGAACACAAGTTCAATTCATTAGGCTTTTCGATTTTTCGAGAAAGAGACGATGGACAAGAAAACATCTTGACATTCGAATTGGACAGAAAAGTACCGGAATGTTACACTTCAGATTCAAGTATTTAAAAAATAACCACAACAGACCAACATGCACTTCCACAACTCATATATATACATGAACAAATAGAAAAATAACAGATACAAAACAAATTCATAGTCATATGTTATTGCTATTGAATGTTTAATCATGATGCAATTCACAAGCGTAACAGACACATGCCTCCTTGCCACAGCCCCATCTGCTTGCCCACTTCGAGCATTTCTCAGCAGGTGGAGCTTCATTTTCGCCTTTACAGATCATTATGGCTGATCCATCCGACTTAACAAGCCCTTGCTTGTGCGAAAGGAAAAAAAAAAGTTGAAAAATAATTATTAACGACCCCTTGCTGACTTGCATTCACAAAGCATGGTAATATGAAAAACAGAACTAGAGCAAGGAAGTAATTGGACATATTAATGAATAAATATTATACTTTGAGCCCTGTTTTCTAACTTGTAAGCATAAATGAGAATGACAATCAGATGTATTATTATATTTAGTAAAGCTTTTTTCGTTTAAAAATCAATTTTAAATTTGCTTAATGGCCCTTTTTTGATGCATCATAAGGTTAACAAACCAGAATAACTGCAGGAATTTTGGAGACAGCATTGGCTAACCTTGTCCTTCCCGTAAGGGCAGAAGGCTAGGTTCGTGTTTTTTTTTTATACAAGCGATATTGGGAGAGTGGAGAATCGAACCTAAGTTCGTGTTTTGTAAAACAACATAATTGGGAGGAAAAAGAGAGCTGTGGCTTGCTTAAATATTAATTCCAGAATCAAGAATTCCTTGGACTTGGTTTTTTCAAAGCAATGAAGGAATAAGAATCACAAAGGCTCTCTTTCAGATGATTTTTCCATTTTCTTCGCACACTTATTTTCCATTTCATTACAGTAGTGTCAGCAGCACAAGACTTGAAAATTTTGCAATATGAAACAAGCAATCCTTAATGAAAAGATTGCCTGGTGGATTTTTATCGATCTTTTTAGATCTTAAGCTGAAATTACACAAGAAACAACCAACACCAGAATATTACTTTACCTTCGGCTGAGCACTTTCAGGTGCACACCAACTAATTCAAATAAATACCCACCATGAAACTTTTAAAACTCATCAAGGTGTCACACAATTATAGCAGACACATTACCAATTGCCATACTTCCATCTGTCTACAAAGCTTGAGCAATTCTCCGCAGGTTGAGCTTCCTTATTGCCTTTACAGACCATTATCACTGATCTGTTATCCATTTTAACACCTTGCTTCTACAAACACAAAATGAAAATAATTATCCTTTGACGCGCTGGATTTTTCTGTAGGTTTATCCTTTGAGGTGCCCTTTGAGAAAATCCCACGTCGATAATCAGCACTCCTATAAATGTGTTTATAAACAAAGCACCATGATGCTTTGGTAAGTGTGGCTAATGGACTTGATAGGGTCGGCTTTGAATTTGGTTTCGATTAATAATTATATTAATAAAAAACTTGGGAAACGTTTCAATCACTCTTAAGGCAATGTAAGCCAAATTTCTGATTTCGACCGTTTTCTCATAATCTTTTGCTCATGAATTTTATGATTTTGTATTTGTTTTTCTGAATTCTGAATATTTTGTGAAAAATAAAAATTTGACTTTAGGCGAGTCCTCGAAAGTCGAAACAAGAACAGAGGACGAGGTCCACCTGTGTTTCCCGCGCTTGTGGCTCCGCCTAATTAAATAGTCTAGCCGCTCGGCTATACTAATACTTTTTTTTTTAAAAACGTATAGCTGGGCGGCTATACTAATTTTTGACATGTGGGTCATCTTTAAAAAAAAAGTATACCCTCACGGCTATACTCCGTGTTTTTTATTTTTTTTAGAAAGTATGCTTGTTTTGACACGTAGCGCCTAATCGTTGGGAGCCATCTTTTTTTCTATTTAAAAATAGTATGGCCGAGTGGCTATAGGAAGTTTTTTTAAATTTGTTTTAAACCGTGCCCAGACTCTCTGCGTCTGCTCTGTTTTTAAATTTTTTTTTAGTAAATAGTATAGCCGCACTGCTACACGTGCTAGCGCCAGGCCCTTTTTGAAAATTTAAATTTGTATAGCCGCGCGGCTATACGTTGTTTTTTAATGTTTAAAAAAATAGTGTAGCCGCACGGCTATACGTTAGATACTCACGGCAACTTCTTGTGGCAGTAGGTTTAAATTTAGCATACATCCACCTTTACACACTACCGTTGTAGGTACCATCATCATGGTTGACGGAAAGCAAGAATAGGAAGAGTTTTTGGAAACATTATCCAAAAACTAGCCGCAATATAAACTGTCATAAAAGAGAGAGTTGAAAACTATAATGATGAGAATTTGCACTTGCTGAGCAATGTGTCTTTTTAATCTCATTTCAGGCACCCAAGAGGAAGCAGCTCGTGGCTATGACATTGCAGCAATTGAGTACAGAGGGATCAATGCTGTGACTAACTTTGACTTGGGCTCTGACTGTTGTTAAGATGTTATATGTGTGAGACATATTGTCTAGGTTTACTAGCGGTGAACAGTTCAAGATCAATTATATCTACTGCATCATCAAGTAAATCCGATATGTTTTCACTAAGGTAGGTTCAAGTCCAAAAGACACTTTTCCTTATGTATATAACATCTGCTGCCTCTCAAATGCATTACATTCATTTAGCACCATAAGTATAACATTTCAAATGTGGGGTCTAGAATTTCGATTCAAATGTGGGGTATTGTTGAAAGTTTGAATGAAATTCAAGAACCTTAGTCTCACATTGGTAGAAAGTAGAAAGAATGAGGTCTTTATAAGTGTGGAAGTCTCACACTTAGTAAATGGAAATGGGCCAAGTGGAAGTAATTCGGGCTTCAAAAATAATTTGGACTTTGAATATTATATAAAATTATTTAATATTTAATTGTCAAAAAGATGGGCCTTGGGCACTTTCAGATTTAAAATTATTATTTTTGGTTTCGAATTAATAATTTTTTATTAATTCGGATTAGTTTTATTAACTATTTTCTAATAGTTGTGACTCTTCTGATAAGGTTTCAGAAGTTTATTTAAATCAAACAAGGCCTCATACGTTCAATACAGAAAAAGCATTCACAAGCATTTCATCTTGTCTGAGAGGAAAACAAACAACGTTCGCCAGATTCTAAGTCTGAGTGCTAGGGTTTAGAATACAGATAGTTGAATCCTGCGAGGCAGTCACCTGTAGAACTTCAAGCACCGAGAAGGGGTCAAATTACTGTCTTTAGGACATTGCATCAAATCTGCAAGCCTCTATCTCGAATCCAAGTCAGTTTGATTTATTGTTTATATACTGTATTATGAATTACAGTTTATTATAAATTCTGTTTATATAATTGTTTTAATTAGTCACTGATTGTTGTTTTTCCAACACTGACATAAGATGGCTAAAGCCAAGAGCAGACGATCCAATAGCCACTCAAGAACCAGAGACAGTCGCAGAGCCTCAGAATATGCCATTCATGGCCAACAGCTACATCCCAACAGAGGAGTGTTTCTCACACACAAATCCTTTTGCCTCCCCCCCGGGAAAACAAGAAGTCATCGGTAGCAGCATCCCTCTTAACACCGGTAGCAAGTCATCGTCTCCCACCGCACTTGGCCTCGTCCTTCAATCATCAATATTCAGAGAGTTGGTTCAGAAGAACTCAAACTTCTCGGAGGATGAGAGTACTGACGGAGAAGAAACAAAGGACCAGCCACAGGCTGGTCTTGGTAGTGATGATGAGTTCGGTGGAATTTTCTATGATGGAATTGCCGTTTGCTTGCTCTTCCAATTCTGATGGAGATAACAACCCATGGAGCAGCATTAGAAGCACCATTTTGCTCAATCAACCTACAAAAGCAAATGCCTCAGACTCTCTATTTTTCTTTTCTTAGATGCATCATGGGAAACAGAACTTGACTATATGGACGAAATTTTGTTTCACTTCGTAAATAACAGAATTGGCTCATAAAAAAAGTACATGGCGTGATGAGATTGATGCTAATTAAATCATGTCCAGCATTGCTTGCAAGTTGCATGTAAACAACTTAATAACATCGAGTTTATAGTTTTGATAATGCGCTGAGAGATTATTAATGCGCTGACAACAACTTACCAACTTTTTCAATTTTTCATAGTTTCATCTCACCTTAATATAGGCTGAGAGATTATTAACAGGAAAAAGAAAAAGTGTGAACGTTTCCAAAGTTACATATGAATGATTTCTGAATACATTATCATGCACTTTCGGTTCAGGTTTATTGCACCAGATTCATTCAACTTAAATGCTGCAGTTTGCCTGCTTTACAGAGATGTACAATTGACAAGTAATACAGTGGTTCGTTCCCAATATGTAGCACAATTGTATTTTAGCCATTTGAACTCTGTTTTCTAGTTCATTTCTGTTCCTTTCATTTCATGTGGTCAGATTCTACATCAAACACTCACATTCAATTCTTTTAACCACTGTGATATACTGTTGCCTAAGATGAAAACCACAAACCAGCAGATCCCATCTTGGTTGAGAGCATTGCAAGGGACTTCCATATACACTCCGATACAGGTAAGTATGTCTATTTCTCGAGACATGTCATTTGAGGGTATCAAGAAATTAAAAAGGAAGTTCACTGGAAAAAATAGATAAATGAAAAAGAAAGCAAAACCCGACTTCCACAAGACACTATCCTCAGTTGGATGGAAATCCACATATCTCTTTGATCTGGGAACCCAGTGTTCATACTAGTTTGTAAGACAATAGCCGCTGCAAGTTAAACCAGAAGCTGAAGTGCTCAGGATCTTGTAGTGAAGGCATCATCGCTTCCACGTCGAGAAGTCTCTCAAGTCGTCTTCGGTTTGTAAAGAGATACTATCATACATCAAAAGGGCACATAGGGATACTGAACACAAGAATAAGGAAAGAAACCATTCTTATGTACACTGGCATTACATATAGACTGAAAATTTTCATGGCTTGAATAAAGACAAATTGTCACAAGTAAATAAGATATGCTGATCTAGAGATAAAGATCCTCCCAAATGTTCCAAGCATAAACTTCCTAAAGATGAAATCTGAACATGACAGACATTTCAGAGGAACATAAGGTTTAACCTAGTAAAACTAATCTTTCATTTCCAACCATTACGACTGACCACCAAATTGAAACATGCAATCTCAGTCATGCAGTAATATTCACCCAAAATAAAAGAAAATCTGAGTTAGGATATTTGTAATGGTCATCCAACTACCTATTATAGAGGACTACGATATTTAACTTATGGAGATAACCCATTAAAAAAACAAAAAAGAAGGTAAATTCCCAGTTCATTCACTAGATGTCATTCCTGAGCATTTTACCTTGACGCGCTGCTCTTTTACCCCGCCGTATCCATAACCGAACATACTCTGCTGCATTATTTGTCAATTCCTGTAGCTGTACAAGATATAGAAGTTAAACCATAATAGGAGCAACCAAAATGAGGCTGAAAAACATGGAAGAACTTTGTCCTGCATCTACCTACAGTGATGCATGCTGGCTGCTAATACATTAGCTACAGGGCCTTTTAGCAATGGCATTATTAGACTTAATTCAATGACAACTATAATACATATATGAAGATTTACAACCAAATTCACATGTCACATGTAAAATAGGATGCCTTATCCAAAACACTTTAAGCTCTGCTTATTGTATCTCAAGTTTTGTCAACTGAAGTTGAAAACTACGACAACTTTGAATCTAGAAAAAATGTGTGACCAATTTATTTATAAATTAAAAAAATTAAAAATCAAAAGCATTGTTAAGCACCAAATCAAGTTTAACTCAAGCTTCTTACTATTCTCTACAACAAAAAATTTAAAAATAAAATATAAAAGAAAATAGCACACTCCAATAGATAGATTACAGAAAACCAAATTGTCATGAACTTACGTCTGGGATTGAGCTTGAAGTTGGATGCTTTTATGGTGATGGGTTATGCTCAAATCACCCTTTTTTTTATTTATCAGGAACCATCCAGGCAAGCTGTGTGCAGGTAAGGCTTGGACCTTTGTTACTGGTCTAGTTAGGGAGGCTAGAGTATCTTTCAAGTGTTGATGCTTGCAAAGATGTAAGATTTTTCAATTCGAAAACTGATAGCATGAGACGACAAGAATCTGCTTCAAGTTGGGACCAATGTTTTGAAAGGCGAGGCGTTGATGTAAGGCGTTTTAGTTACGTTATGCGAGGCATAAGCCTTTTGAATATTAATGTATTTTATTAAGAAAAATTTATGAATAATGCAATACAATTAAATTGTACAACTAATTCTTACTGAACCATGACAATCTTTTAAATATAATCAAATATAAGTACTAATTGTCATTCAAAGCATAATAATCAATCCCAAAACATAAAATATTTATTCAACATCAAAAGAAAAACATAGTTCACTCATCCCACTCCTCAACATGAATATCATTCAAACTAGCATCACTATTATATTGATTAACTGTATGAAAATGATATTTCCCACTATCAAATGTTGAAGGATCTTTATCTCTCTCATTATCTTCATTCACAAGCATCATTCTTATGGACTTGCTTTTGACTTTCCTCTTTCCTGTACGTATGAACAATGAATTAAAATTAAAAAATTTAATGGTAATAAATTAAACACTAATTGTAACTTTCACTATATATTTAGGGTTGTACTATATATATAAGTCCATATGTTAATATATTAATTAATTAATTAATTAATTTTTTAAAAAGGTTAAAGGTTTAACATAGTAAAACTAATCTTTCATTTCCAACCATTACAACTGACCACCAAATTGAAACATGCAATCTCAGTCAGGCAGTAATATTCACCCAAAATAAAAGAAAATCTGAGTCAGGATATTTGTAATGGTCATCCAACTATATATATTATATAAGTCCATGTGTTAATATATTAATTTAGAAAATAAAAATAAAAAATGAAAAATGAAAAATAAAAGTAAGTAGAATAAAGCTACAGCCGGCTGGAGTTAGAAAAGGCAAGAAAGATTTTAATAGACTTTGGAAAAACACAAAGGAGAGAGAAAATTTGTAAAAGAAGTCAAAATGGACAAAATTGCCCTTATTTATTTTTGGATTTCCTAAGAAATCCTTTACATTTACATGTCTTTGATTTGAAAGTTGAGAGGTTTTTCTGTCTTTTTTGAAAAAGCTTTGGCTTTTTCCAAAAGTGAAATTTTTTTTTTGGTTAAAACCTAAATTTACTTTAAGGTTATTAGAATACTTGACCAAAAAAAAAGTTTATTAGAATAAAGGTAAGGGGAAAAAAAAACAGAACTTCCCCTTTTTTTGTGAAATGACGTCGTTTCATTTAAAGTTTTAAACACTGAAATAGAAACGACGTCGTTTTATCAACCCTAAAAAAAAAAAAAAAAAAAAAAAAAAAGCTATCGTCTTCCTCAGTTGTCTTCCTCACAGCCAAATTCAGACTTGCAAAATCTCTTCCGGTTCAGAAGGTTCCAGATCTGGTGATTCCTTGCTCCGCCTTGCAACGCCTCCTCACGCCTTCCCCGCCCTAAACATGCAACTCGCGAAACAGCCGACCGCCTCGGGCGATTCCCTGCCGCCTCGCTCCCACGCGCGCCAAGGCCTGCCTTTGAAAACACTGGTTGGGACATGCAAATAGCTATGAATTCTTTTCTTTTGCTTTAGATTCGAAAAATCTGCCTAGGCTGCCCCTAGGCGGGTCTAGGCGGCCCCTAGGCGGGTCTAGGCGGCCCCTAGGCGAAACAAGTCTGGGCGCCTGGGCGGGTCCTTTTTTTTTTTTCTGACTTTAAAAACCTCATGCTGTTGCTTCCTTCTCTCTCACGAGTCGATCACCACCACCAGGCCACGACGACTCCTTGCTCACACCCCCGACCCTTTCTGTAATGGAACTATGAACATCTACTAGAGAGATAGTGGGTTCTGCTACATGCGATGTGACTAGGTAAGTCAAATGCCTAAGCATATAGGCTTCACCTTCACCCTCTTATGGCCCAAAAATTTCCTTAAGAAGTATGCATATCAGGGCAAATGACACAGTTGTCTGAGACTAGTCATAATTCTTGAAGCCAAGTTTCAGCTGGGGTGTTCTTGACTAGAAAGGGCAGGTCTGGTGTTAATGCTTTTACTTTGAATCCTCGATCGAGAAGCGGCTTCAGGATTCTGTATCCACTTCCTGAATCCATGCTTTTTGATAGGATCATCAAGCACCCTTCAGGATTGAATTTTAAGAGACTGTCCGTGGCCATGACTTCTCTTTTGCCAAACTTGGTTGCTGGTGAAAACCATATGATGTAAAACTGAGCACTGCATCCATGGTTGAGGAACTCAAGTACTCGACCGTGAAACTGCTCTGTTAAATTGTTTGAGTTGAGTATCTGCAGTTCCGGGAGCTTGCCCTTTTGTGACATTTTCTGGAGGAACCAGAGGACCAGGAACTTCCTCTGCAACTTCATCTATCTTTGTCTGTACGTTATGCATCTTAGTAGCCAATAAGATGTATTTGATTGTTTTCTGTTGAGAGGAATGTCTTATACTTGGGCTTTTGGACAGGATTGGAGGCCATGCAGCTTCTGTCTTGCTCAAATCTGAGTAACAACAAGCTCGGTAGTTTAACTGCTCTGGGGCCGTTGAGACTGTTGAAGTCACTAGAAGTGTTGGATATCTCATACAATGAGATAGGCTCACACACTATTGACACGACAAGGTATCTATGTTCAACACCTCTTTCCCATACAGAAGAGAGTAGTTGGAACAGTGACGAAATTGTGACCTGGGGTGCCAGTGTGAAAGATAATTGGGAAGCTGTTCTGATATTTAAAAGCTTGAGCTTGACACAATATTTTAGCCATTGTGGGAAATGCAATTTCTGGTGAAAACTTCAAGTCGCTTTTGGTCAAGTTAGTTCCTACACTTGAGTGGCTGGATGGTGATAAATTGCATTGACCTTTAATTCTTCGTCTATTTTACAGTTAGCAAAAACACTATCCTTTGTTCAATGCAGTGGTCCTATATATATACATGTTACATGTTCTAGTCTTTCCCCTGTCACGTTTATGTTGTCGGTACAGATTTGACTATGGAATCGAACAGTTCAAGTGCAAGCTTCCCATTAAATTTTTGTTCTAGTGAAAATGGAGTTTTGTGTTTTCATGAATATGGGCTGCATGGAATGGTGTTTCCTTTGCATTGACGGTAAAAACTGGAGTAACACAGGGAAAAAAAGGGCAGTGGTGTTCGCATATTTTGATTGAAATTGTTAGGTAATTACAGAGTAGTGACCAAAATTTCTAAAATTATTATCTTTATTACAGAGTAGCGACCATATTTGTGTTAACCTTATATAATTATATTGGTCCTTGTGACTGACGACTTTTGGCCTTAATTATGAATTCAAAATTATCAAAGAAATCACTTTACACTTTTGGCCAATACAGAGAGATTGCCTAGAAACAAATACTAAATAGTTCAAGGGAAAAAGGCATTATTAGACCAAATACCATTAATGTGATTATGACCCCAAAATGGCATAATCATCTCATCTCCACCACCAACCCCTACCCCCATGCGCTGATCTTGTGGGTTCTTCATGCCCATGAGCCATGGATGCCTCTGCATCGTCTCTATACTGTTAGTTTCGAAAGCCTACCTCTCCATTCAATAATCTGTTGTTGTAGCCACTAGCAGTCCTGTTGGTTCTACTTGGACTTGTTTGTTCTCCTCCTCCAAATCCAGAATCTTAATTTTGACTCGAATGTCCTTCAAGCTTTGGTCAATCAGCCAACCCAGATCATTCAAAGAAACCATGTTCAAACTGTGGAGGGACTTACCAGTCAGACTCTGGAATAGCACCCTTGTCATCTCCTTTTCTCTGTTCTCCTTCCTTTGTTTCTTCAGTTGTTCATTGGCTTTCTCAATCCTCTGCCTCAGAAGACTTTCTTGGTTCACCATCTTTCTGCTATGTTTAATCTCCAACATGGTCTTAAATTTTTTAAGAACGCGTTGCACTTGGAGAGAGGATGGCCAAATCTCATGTTGAGTATGATATAGGCTATAGGGAAGGTTGTTGAGTTCACTCACTTTCTTCATCAGATCCTACTTCATTTTCTTGAATGTTGTTTCTCTAGTCGAGTAATTACTGATGTAGGTTAGTTTCACCTTCTTTCTAGACATGGCTCTCAAAGAAAATAAAATTAAAAATGCAAACTAGTGAGAAGATGATGCATTTGCGAGTTTTCTTAAGAGGAGAGCCTATGCTATATATAGAGTAGCAATAGGGCAACCTAATGAATTCTTAGAGATTAGGTTTTGAATGAGAATTAAATGCGGGGATATGTTTTTCTTTTTTCTTTTTTAACACAAACGGATATTACGGGAGGGGGAAATGAATATTCCACTCCAAATGGGGGAGATTTGGTATTTTATCATAACGGGAATGGATAAAAAAGCTAAACATGAATGAGGATGAGAATGGCATACACACTTCCGATTTGACCCATTACATACCTTTTCTAAAGACAAATGAACTTATAAATGTACAGATGCATCTGCTATTGAATTGATTAATTTTGGGCATGTTTGGATAAGGGATTATTTGGGGTGTGGATTTGGAATCAGTCCCTAAATCCAAATTCAGTTGTTTGGGTCTGCATATTGGTTTTGGATTTGGGCCAAATCTGTGTTGTTTTATTTCATGGCATCATCTTCTTTTAATCCCAACAATATGTTAGATAAGGGTAAAGCAGCAAAAGACCCATTAGTGTAATGGTTTGGAGTATTTATTCTCTCAATCAAGGTCCTGGGTCCTAACATCCGTGTAGTGTGTGTGAGTTTAGTATACTATCGTCTCTCTCAATAGAAAAGGTCCTAATTTAAAAGAAAAAAGAAAAAGAAAAAGGGTAAAGCATCCATCATAAGAGATCCTAACATGTTACCTTAGCCAAAAATATGTTCCTCCAAGCGAATCTTTACATGTTGTTCATCCTCATCTATCCCGTCATATAGATGTAAAACAAAATTCTCATGCTTTACTTGAACTATTAAATTATGGTATATTTCATCTATCTAAAGCTGAATTTTTGCCTATTCTCACAAATCTCCTCTTGGCTTGCCTGTTTACTATTTAAAGCTAAGTCAAAATGCCCACATTGCAGCAATGGCCACTAATCTGGTCCAATTCCACGCATTTACTTATTGGGTTTAAAACAGTCATAAATGACATTAAAAAAAATACAACAATAATATAGTGTTTAAATGTAGATGGTCCACTAAGTGGAAAAGCCCCTTGACTTTTAAACCAGATATCTCAAGTTCGAACTCTCATGGCATCTTAGTTGTGTGCACGTGTGTGTGTGTGAGAAACTCATTTCCCCTGTAATTTAGACTATCACTTGTACTTAAGAAGTTCAAAAAGTGACAAAATTATGACTGAGGTGCCAATGTGAAAGATAATTGGGAAGCACATCCTTGGGGCTCTTGGGCTTTGGAGAAATTTAATTCACACAACTAAACGAATTTTTTTTTTTTTTTTTTTTTTTTTTTTTTTTTTTTTTTGCATTTTTGACATATCCTTTCAATTTAAATTTGAATGAAATAAGGTTTATTACTGCCATGATTTGAAAATTGCACAAAATAATTTAAAATAATTAATTACTATTTATTGAGTAATTCATGAAATAAGTAACATATTTAAAAAATCACTAAAGAAATAATAATTAAAATATAATTACTAATTAAAGCAATTTAAAAAGCTAAGATATTACTTAATTACATATATTAAATTAAAGAAGTTTGCCAAAAAACAAAAGTAAAGAAACTAATTCTATATTTTTAAAATTAAAATAAAAACACCTCTCCAGACGAACCCAAGACCAAGTACATGATTATCAAATATTAATTATTATGTATATGTAGTTAATTACTATTTAATTAAGGATTTTATGAAACTAATTAAAATATTTAAATACTAATTATTCACTAAATAAATAGTAACTAATAGCTTTTTACAAATTACATTAATTAAATATATTAAGATATTACTCAATTAAAAATATTAAGTAATGAGAAGAAAATTAAAAAAATTAATTAATTACTATTTATTAAGTAATATAATTTATGAATTTAATTAAAATATTTAATACTAATTATTTCAATAAATAAATAATAATTAAAAAGCAATTACTAATGAAAGTAATTAAAGAAGGCTAAAATATTATTTAATTACAAGAAAAAAATTTTAAAAAGTGATTCACCTAAAGATACTAAGTTTCTATTTGTTTATTTTTTTAAAACTTCTCTTGACAAAATTTTGTCGGCACAGGTATATGCCAATGAAAGTTCGCAGGATTAGACTTCTCCAGACGAACTTTCATTGGCAAAGGTAGCTTTCATTGAGAGAGATCTAATCCGGTAAATATTTGCCGGCCTAGACATCTATTGACGAAATTTTGTCAGGATAGTTGTTTTTGCTTATTTTTTATTTTAAAAAAATTACATAAAGAGAAATCCAGATTTTGCTATTTAAATGATATATCTGTGAGGCTAGACTGTTGAAATATTGTATATATATGGTATATAGGGTTTAGCCACGCGACTATACTTTTAAAATATTCGGCTATACTGTATATTTTAAAATATTGTATAATATGTATAGTATATAGCTCTTCGACTATACTTTTAAAATATTCTATTTAAAGGGTATAGCCGCACGACTATACTTTTAAAATATTCCATTTATAGAGTGCGCTTAGGGTTTTGGGAATACTTATGCCTTGTTCGTGTGTTGAATGTGTATGAGCAGTGATATAAAGAGGTTGCTTTATCTTTTTAGGTTCCCTTTGTGATATTTTGTTATATATATTCGAATATTTAAATATTATAGTCGTGCGGCTATACTCTTTAAATATATTGTGTTTTAATTATTATTTAATATATAAAAATAAAATAAAAAGTCCACAAAATAATTAATTACAATTTATTAAGTAATTTATGAAATTAGTAAAATATTTAAATATTTACTAAAGAAATAATAATTAGAACATAATTGCAAATTAAAAAAAGGCTAAGATATTAATTAATTACATATATTAAATTAAAGAAGTTGTTTATATTTTTAAAATTAAAATAAGAAGCAAAAACACGTTTCCTTATGACATTTCGTCGGCACATGTCTATACCTGGCAAATATTTACAGGATTAGATCTCTCCCGATGAAATAACCTCTGCTGACGAACTTTTGTCAGGATTAGAGCAAATGTCGTTGGGATAGACCTGTTTCGACGAACATTCGTTGGTAGAGTTTTTTTCCCAACTAAATATAAACTTAGTACTTTATGTCAATAATTTTTTTTTAAAATTTCTTTTTAGTAATTAAATAATATCTTAGCATTATTTAATTACTGTCATTAGTAATTATGTTTTAATTTTTATTTATTTAGTGAATAATTAGTATTAAATATTTTAATTAACTTCATTAATTATATTACTTCAAAAATAGTAATTAACTTTTAAATAATAATTAAAACATAACTACTAATTAAAGTAATTTAAAAAGAGAAATCCAGATTTAGCTATTAAAAGGATATAGCCGTACGGCTGAACCTTTGAAATATTGTATATGTGGCGTATAGCCGTGCGGCTCTACTTTTAAAATATTCATTTCTAACGGCTCTAGCCGCGCGGCTATACTATTAAAATATTCCATTTATAGGACGCGCTTAGGGTTGAGGGAAGATTTATGCCTTGTTCATGTGTTGAATGTGTATGAGCAATGATACAAAGAAGTTGCTTTATCTTTTTATGTTCCCTTTATCATATTTCGTTATATATATTCGAATATTTAAAGATTATAGCCTTCCGGCTATACTTTTTTTTTTCTTTTTTTTAAAGTCCACAAAATAATTATATTTATTAAGTAATTTATGAAATTAGTAAACTATTTAAATATTCACAAAAGAAATAATAATTAAAACATGATTACTAATTAATGAGTATAGCCGCGCAGCGATAGCTTATTTAAAGAGTATTGCCGCGCGGCTATACGTTTGCAAATATTGTGTATATAGAGTATAGCCGCTCGGCTATGAATTTAAAATATTCCATTTATACAATATAGCCACGCGGCTATACATTTAAAATTTTCTATTTATAGAGGGCGCTTAGGGTTGAGTGAAGATTTATGCCTTATTTGTGTGATGAATGTGTATGAGCGGTGATATAAAGAGGTTGCTTATGCTGTAAAATTTAGTGTGACCATGCCATAATTGGGAACGAAAAGTTAAGCAAATTATCACTCATATTAAAAAAGAAACAATCATGATTTTACCTTTTTTTTTTCTTTCTAAGAACTGTGCAGAATTTTGGCCTGAAGAAACATATATCTAAGTTCTAACAATATCATTCAAATCTAATTATTTTTCTTTTTTCTAAGAATTGTCCTACCTTTTAAATTCCTATATTCACCTTAGGTAAGATGAAAATCCTATCCAAAAGAAAGAAGTTAGACCAAAATAATATATTTTTATGTAAATAGTAACATAGTACAACAAATATTTCCACAATGTGCCAACAATAAAAATATGAATTTTTATGTAGACTTATCCTTTAAGGTGCCATTTGTGAAAATCTCACATCGATAATCCGCACTTTTATAAAGGTGTATATAAACAAAGCACTATGATGCTTTGGTAAGTTTGGTTAACATTGGAGAGTTGGGCTGATGGGCTTGATAGGGTCGTTTTTGGATTTGGCTTCGATTAATAATAATTATATTAATCTACTAAATTAAGGAGATTTATTTCCTAAGTTAATTAGGTGATTTACTTCCTTGTTTCATATAGTTGACACATCCTTATATAATTAGGAGATATTCTCCTAATTAATTACTATATCTATTTTCTTGTAAAGCACCCTCATAAACTCCTATATATTTCCTTATGGAAAAGAATACAATGAACATAAATTATTCAAACCATATTCATATTTTTAGCACAATTCTCTGCCAGTTGAGCTTCCTTCTTGCCTTTACAGGCCATTATCACTGATCTATTATCCATTTTAACCCTTTGCTTCTACAAACATAAAATGAAAATAGTTATCCAAATGCTTCTACAAACAAAAATGAAAATAATTATCCTTTGACTATGTAATTAAAAAGAGCCAAGCAATATATAGGG